ATATGTTTAATCTCCCTGAGCTATCTATATAGATTCTGTGTCCATCTCCCCATTCCACCCCACCCCTCTACATATAGAAGAACTAAGATGTATTTCTCCTTTAGTGATTTGAGCCTTAGATCCCCAGTTTCTGCCCACAAAACTCCTCAGGGTTCAACTAGGTAATACTCCCTCCGTTAGAGCTCAGTGGCTCAGCTCCTCAAGCTTCCTAGCTTCCTCTCATTTCTGTAAATCCCATTGTCCTCCTTTTCTTATTCCTTCATAGACAAAGTTTTTTCTTGTGTGACTTCTTGCCTTTGAAGTTCCTCTAATATGCGATTAAATAATTTATATTCTCTTTCTTAAAATTACTAATGCAGTTTCTGTTTTTTTCTTACTGGATCTCAATTGATGTCAATTACTACTGGTGGCATTTGGCAAGGAACTAGGAAAAAAAACCCATAATGATATAAAGGTGAAAAGAAAAAGTACAGAAGCTTTACAGTTTACTAAGTAACATGGATGGTTTCCTGTAAGACTCAAATGGCAACTGACCTTAACATAATAGAACATAGTCTACAAAGACAATATTCTACACTAATTTGGTAAATAGCAACTTGTTTCTTAAAAGCTTACAAATAGATATCAAAGGTGCAACTATTAATCTTTGCATCTGGAACAAAAAGAATAAAGAAAAGGGGGAAAAAATCTTATTATTTCAAAGGACTAATGGATCATGAAGAGTGCTTTGGTGGTCTATTGGTAAGAGACTGTACTGCAATCTCAGAAGCATATGGTTCAAATCCACTAGCTGCTCCATGGGAGAAGGATGGACAATCTCCTTCTGTATGATTATGAAAACCCACTAGAGGATCAGCTATGAATCAGTTTTTACTTGATTCATGCAACAATAACAACTATGGATGATGGCAGAGCTTTGATGATTTACTGGTAAGGAATTGCCCTGTTCTCTCAAAGGTATGGTTCAAATCCACCAACTGCTCCATAGGAGAAAGATAGGCAATCTCCTCCAAGTGATTTAATGCCTCTGAAAACCAGCTGAAGTGTCAGCCAGCAAAGGGTAGGTTTTGAATTGATGGTATACCACAACAATGGACCATGAGAAATTCAGTTTCAACTGTTTGAGGCCAGAAGGATTACAGGGAGCAGGTTACAGCTGCTGATAATTCTGAAAAAGATAACAATAATTTTTATTATTCTAGATTAGAATAAAAAATATGAAACAAAATGAAATTATAAACCAGGGTTACCAGTTTAACTGAAAGGAAGTCTGAGAATGTGACCTTTAATATTTTTTCAAACCAGGAGGGGGAAAAAACCCCAAATAACCATAAAACGACTCACACCCATTACTCAACTTGCAGCCAAAGAATTGATAATATGAAAGAAAAAACATTTCTTAGAATAATCAACTATACAAGATCAAAAGGCTAGTATTAATGCCAGGAATAAAGTTTAGAGGGTAGAAAAGGATAGAATAGAAGGGAAGATAGAAACAAGAAAGAGAAACAGTGGGAAGAATGCTATCTCACCATGGGAGATTTTAATCAATGTAACTAGAATGTGTTTGAAATGTTGAATGAAAAAACAGTTTTCTCTGTAAATGTTCACTCACATCACAATGAAAAGTTAATAAAGTATCAAATTTTTTTCTCTACTAATTTATTTACAAAATTTGAATACAAGTTTGAACAAATTCTTTCAATATCCCTCACCCCCACCCATCAAACTGTATATTCCAATGATTAATCTCCCCGCCCCCTTCACATCCACATTCCTCTGCTTCCAGGCTCTCCCACCCCTCATGAATCACTATACTCATTCTACAATAACAGTTTTATACAATATTTATCCTTGTGGGACTGAGTTAGTTCACCTAGCATAATGCTCTTCAGGCCCTCCCAAGGTAGGTAATAATTTACAAAGTTATTGCTCCAGAAACTATTTTGGTCTCATATTTTCTTTAAAGGAAAGAAAATAGTTGAAAGCCATATAAGAGACAATTTAGATGTAGACATAGCAAATAATACAAGAAGAAAACTATCCCAAAGGATGAAACCAGAAGATACAAATAGCTGTAGACCAGACAGATAACCTATGGACAGAACCCATTCATGAAACTTTCCTCTCCAAGTTAAAAATATCTGATAATATTAGTCCAGAATATGATGGTTTCTCCCTTCTTACTGTTTTTCTATATTCTAAGTATCCATTCAGTTGTCTCTTGTTATTTTCCTTCAAGCCAGAAGTAACTCATAGCTAGCCCATCAATGAGTTTTCAAAGGCTGTAAATCATACAGAAAAAAATTGCCAATCTGTGTCCTCAGAGCAGCTGGTGGATTTGAATTCCCTATCCCTAAGTTACCAATGCAACTTCTTATCCACTAGGCCATGAGGTACATGGCTCATGGATAATTCATTATTAAAATCATCACCCTAGGAGACTAATATGTAACTCAGAGATCATGGAATCGAGATTAATTAAGTGAAAGAAATGTGAATTACCTCCTTATGGAAGAAGTGACTACTTTTTAATGGGATTGTATTCAAACTCTGGTGGCCTAGTGGTAAGAATATGTGGTTACTCAGTCTCATATGGACAAATGCTGAATAAGACCATTATTGTAAAAATAGAAGGATATTAGTAAAGCATGTATGGAAACTCAAGGAGGGAAAAAATGGGGAGGATCCAGGTGAAAAGACAAGGTAATGATAGGCAAGGTCCAATAGTGATCAATTTTTTAAAACACAATGTGTAACAGTGATTATATGAATTGCAATTTGAATTGAATGAAGAATTGTGTGAGACACAATGTATACAAACTTTGTAAGTAAACTAATAAACAAAGAAAAAGGAATCTGTGATGCAATGCTGAAGGCACATGGTTCAAGTCTACCAGTTGCTCCACTAGAGAAGTATGGCCAATTTTCTTCCAATGCAATAATTGCTTCTGAAGAGCCACTGGAAGGTTACCTAAGAGTTAGTTCCAACTCGATGGTATGCACCAACATCCACAACATTCAAATATTTCTTGAATATTTGGTGACCAGAGCATAAACCAGAGCAAAGATTGGCTAAATAACCGCAAATTCAATCTCATTTCCTGATCACATATGAAGACATTTGTCAAAGTTTTTTTACTTCAATTGGACTTGATTTAGTCTTAGCTAATAAGTTGTAACCATACACCAATTTAAAGGTACTTTATAATAGGTCACATACAGTAATGTTCATAGTGTCTTAATTTTCTTTCGTGACCTAGCAAAACATTTTGGTTAAGAGGATAATATCAAAAGATGGAAGGCGTCTGCATCCTCAAATCACTATTTGTTAGTGATATTTCAAAGACAAGTGTCCAAGATAGATGACATCATGATAAGAGAAACTTTTTTGTGGAGTGTTTGGTTTTCTTTTAAAAATTATATTAAAGAACTGAAATTTTGTAAATTGTACACTAACATTTAGAGATTACAGCATCAGATTTTAAAAGATTAATTACCAGGGCACAAGTGTAAATAACATGTTTTTATATTTTCTTCTTAGATTAATTAAGTGACAAGAAAATGTCTAGAAAACAGTAGTTAAAATGGAAAATAATTGACTTGAAATGTGTGGTTTCTAGTCATCCTTTTACTATTTAAAAGCTAAATGACACTGAAAAATTAGTTCATTTCTCTGGATAGCAATACATAGCTATAATATGAAACTACTATTTGCTTAACTACATGACAGTCTGTTTGCTCCAAATTGTTCCAACAAAAGGCAATTAAGCACTAAAACCAAGGTTAAAAGAATATAAATTTTAATTTTAAGTAACTATTTAAAGTCCATTTTAGGAATAAATATTATATAACACATTTACTTCAGAGATAGATGTTAACTCAGGCAGAGCATCCTGTAGTTTCATTGAAAAGGAAAGTTTACAAAAGATTGTTAGGGTGACAGTAAAGAGTTAATAAAAATTATCATTGCAAAGGATCAATTTATGCCCTTTTACGTGGAATAAACAGTTTTGATAAATTTCTTGCACACCTCTCCAAACCCTAAGTTTTCGCACAACATGATGTAATGGAATTTAGGTAAAAATTTACACTTCTATCCCTCTTTTATCAATTGAAAGACTTTTTTCAGATGTCTTTCTTGATGTACACTTAGTAATGCTTACTTAGAATCATTATGATCATATAAAACAATGAAAAGTGCCAATTCCAAAGCATAAACTTTTTGAAAGTTATTTTCTTGGCTATATTTATTTAAAAAAATGTTAATAAACTAATAAAACAGGATGAAAAATAATCATTACAAAATTACAAAATAATAATTAAAATACAAATAAATGCCAATTAAAAAACTTAATAGCTGTATAGAATTTTCCTTCTTGAAATCAAAGTGAAGAAAATTATAGTTCAAATCTAAGGAAAAGAACATTTAAAATTACTTTTTCTAACACAATTTGCCCAAAAACTGGAACGTAATAGCTAACCCAAACATTTCATTTGCACTAGAAAAGATAAAAATGACCATATTTTTATGTTATTCAAATTACTCTGAACTAATTAATTTTATAATTCAACATAAGTTTATAATTTTTAAATTCCTTTCCTACGACTTTAGGTAAATGCAGAAAATATAATTTTGATTTTTCATTGTCTTTCTATGCTTGTTTTCTTCCATTGATTACCTTATATAGGAACAGAATCCAAGCATACAGATTAGACACTTCTTTGAAGTCACAAACTAATGAAGAGATGATATTAAAAATTAATTGAAAAAGGAATGAGATGTTTACTTTAATTCAAGCCCATAAGTTAAATGATGGTAAAATGGCTTTATGTCTGACTTATGTCATGAATTAAAATCTGTGTGAAAATTATAATACAAGTGCAAATACTATACTATAAACAAGGATAATGTTAACTTAGCATGTCATTATCTTACTCATGTCCTTAGTACAAATTTGCACACAAACCATTTTGAGGTAAAATAACTTTCCACTCACCAATGTGGAGGCTTGTGAGGCATCAGCCAAATCCCCTGTAATCTCGGGTGTTCGCGTGTTGTTGGGGATTCTGTGAGGGTTACGGGCTATCGCTTCACACCAGCCCAGCATTTTCTCCTTCCTCTTATCCCTTTTCAATTTCTGAAATTCTGAAAATAATTTACATTCCCTGAAATAGGTCAATTATTTCAGTTGTCGGTTTTGGAAAACACACAAAATTGAAATTAAACCAGTAATTTAATGAAATATCAATGAAGACAACTTAACCAGGAGTCATGTAGAGGAAAATAAGTATGCTGAATATTAATAATATCCTAGAGCCACAGGAAAATGAAAACAGTATTTATTTTTTCAAAGGCTTAGCATACTTTCAATTCTTATGTATAGTACTTCTAGAAAACGGGATGTTCTTGTACCAAATTTTAAGTTATTTTTATAGTTCGGTGTCAAATTCTAAATGTTACTTCCTGAGTTTGTAACATAAAGTTTTTACCTTCAGAGATAAGAAAAGACCCTGTTTCTGATATATCTACATATTTCACTGACATCTACATTTTGGTATAGCTTTTCAGTGATATGTTCCAGAGATGCATAATAAATTGAACCCATTCTGGCAGTGACATGATTATCTTCCTTATAAAATTCTGCCAACTAAAGAAGGAAAAAATTTAATATAGGTATAGTAAATTTGGAATGTAACAGCATTACTAGTATAATGTATTCAGAAACAATGCTAATAAAATTCTTACTACATCAATTGAAAAATATACCACAATTCTCTCAGCTTTTTCACTACTTCAAATTTAAGCTTTTTATTTTGTCCCCAAGAAAATTATATCAACAATGACTTTTAATGTAATGGAGAAAACATTGCTTTTCTTGTAAAGTTTTAAAGCCTACTTTATCACTCCACTACCCTCGGTAATTAGAAATAGTTTATTGCAAGTCTTTAGTCAAATGCATTACACTGTCAATTAAATATCAGAAATAATGTGGAGTAATTATTTTTCACAGCATCCAAAGCAATTAGCAATCTGCTGGTTTATAACATTTCAGGGATTCAAAATAGCACAACTCATAGCTCTAAGAAAGGTAACATAAAGAAAGATATACTCTAGATTACAAAACACTTAAGCTAAATGGATATGAATGATGAAAATACAGAAAATATAAGCAAAAATGTTTCACAAAAATTAAATCTAAGACAATGAGATGAATTTATTAATAAAATTGACAATCTAATATGAAGCTCATTCATATCAGGTGCAAAGAATAATTGAAAACAATTGTACGAATGAACAAAAAATTATTAGTGTTTGCCTTTTTAAACATTGCCTGCAATTATATGGAAAATTGCTATGTACAAAATCTGCATACCCAGCTAATTTTTTCTGCACAGAAAGTGAATATTTTCATATTCTCCATACATATAATTTTGCTCACTGAGATCATTTAATTAATTTTTTTTTATTTTAAGTATGCTGAAATTAGACAAAAATCAAACTGGTCTGTCTTGAGAGTGAAATAAAGTCTCCTTTGGAGGCGAGGATTATGAAGCTCCATGTCAGGTACTCCGGGCACATAGCCAGGAAAGACCAGTCCTTAGAGAAAGACATCATGCGGGAAAGGGTGAATGGACAGCACAGGAGAGGGAGGACCCTTATGAGATGGATTGATACAGTATCTGGGGCAATGGGGATTGGACTGTCAGAATTAATGAGACTGGCTCAGGACAGGGAAGGATTTGAAGCTGCTGTACATCGGGTCACTATACATCACAGGTGACTTAAAAGCACATAAGAACAACAACAACATAATATATTGGTTAGGTTGGTTTTTTGTTGGTTTTTTTTCTTTTTCTTTTTTGTTTTCTTCTTTTTTTTAATTTAAGCCTCTTGTTTCAGGTCAACAAGACCTCAGGGAGGGCCTTTATGTTTAAAGAACGGTTGTTAACATGTTCTGGAGGAACATTCTTCTAAGTGGTACAGCACTCTTCTGTCAATATGCTGTGCTGAGGTAACCCAGAGTTGCTGTGATGCCATTGGGGGTATCAAATGTCATAATGGTTACCCCTTGATACCCATGGTGGACAGTGCTTGGTAGAGCTCCCAGTAAGTAATTTGTCATTTATAGTTAAAACATTTAAATTCTATGATAAAATTTTCAGTTCTTATAATAAAACATTAATGTTATGCACCAAAATAACATATGATGTTGTTATGTACCACCAACTCAAAATTGACTCACACCTGATCCTCTGGTGGGTTTTCAGAAGCAGTAAATTGTGTGAGAGGAGATTGCTCACCTTTATCCTACTGAGAAGTGGCAAATTCAAAGTGCATGAGTTTTGGCTGGCAGCACAATTCCTTATAAGTAAGCCACCAGAACTTTAAATGTTGATGTTGTTGTTAATGTCATGTCTTTGAGTATGGTAAAAGACTCTGAATGACCCTATGAAAACAGATCTGAAACCTGTTGTATCCTAGGCTATCCTTACAATCTCTGATACACTTGACTCCTAACTAATCAAACACTAATAAAATAAATACCTATTTACTTAACCAATAAATTAATAATATTAATTGAGTAGTCATACTTTCATCAAGGACACAATACAAACTGTTATGAGAATACAGAATCAAAGAAGATATGACTAGGGACTGGAGAGTTTAACATTTAACTTGGATAAGTTGTTCTTGTTGTTATATGCCACCAAGTTGGTTGCGACTTTTCTTAACCTTATATGCAACAGCTCTGAAGCCTGCCCTATCCTGAGCCAGTCTCACTGACTCTAACACACATGCCCCCGTTACCCCAGTTACGGTGTCATTCCATCTCATTGAAGATCTTGCTCTCCTGTACTGTCCTTCCACTCTTCCAAGCATGATGTTTTTCTCCAAAGATCACGTGCCCAAAGTATGTGAGAGAGAGCTTCAAAATTCTTGCTCCAAGGAGAAATTTGGTTTCACCATCTCCAAGACAGACTTATTGGTTCTCTTGGTAGCCCAAAGTGCTTTCAATAGTCTTCTCCAGCACCACAACTCAAAGACATTGATTCTCCCTTTTCTGTCATTATTACTCATTGTCCAGCTCTCTGATGTATAACAAGTAAATTCAAAGACCATGGCCTGGATCAGGTACACCTTAGTTTGTACTCTGGAGAGGTTCCTGACCACAGATTTTCCCAATGCAATTTGTCTTTTGATTTATTGACTGTGTGCCATGAGTGTTGATTGTGGAGCTGAGCAAATGAAATTGTTAACGACCTCAATCACTTCTCCATCTGTCATGATGCTGCCAGTTGTCACAGCAGTAAGAATCTTTGTCTTCTTGATGTTGATTTTTAATGCTTAACTAAGGTCCTTAGTTTCAGCAAGCAGAATTGTGTTATCTGCATAATGCAGATTGTTGATGAGTCTTCCTCCAATCCTGATGCCACACTCCTCCTCATAAAGCCCAGCCTCCCAAATGATCTTGGATCATTCCAGAATGACCTTGGATATATCCATTGTAATAATTATAAAGAAAATTAAATATGTGTAACAACCAAGCCATACAATTCTACTTTATTTTAAAAAAACACTAAAAAATATTTTAAAGCTCATAATATGTGTATTAATATATTTGAATATTCACTTTTTGTGATAAGAAATTTCTAAACTGATAATCACAATATATTATGCAATGGATGACTCTATTATCCACTTTTAGAATCACCTAGTGTAGAATCCAGTATTTCAATAATCTTAAAAGAGGCACTTCTGGAGTAAGCAAATTGGTAAATAGAGATGTGGGGAAATGCCTAAACCTTCAAATTCTGGTGGAAAACAGGGTCCTTTATAATTGTTCAATGACTATATTTTCTTTCTATTTAATAGATAAAAC